ATATGGTTCAAATAATAATCTAAAGTTTTTCACGTTTTGATAATTCTGTTGACAAAAAATAGTACAAAAACAAATAATACATATTAATGTTAATATATATTTTTATATAAAAAGTTGCATTATCGTTTTTGTATATACAAAAATTGAATGAATCGGTAGAAGTTTTGTTTAATTTTTACTTTTATTTTTTGAATAATTAAAAAAAATCAAAAAATTATTAAAATAAAATGACAATGATTTCATTTGATAAAAGACTTACATTTTTTCAAATATTAAACTGGTTTTGGAAAAACTAATATAAAAATATATTCAAGAAACCTTTAATAGCATTATTAAGTATTATAAATTATGATGTCAAATCATTCTTTTTATAATTTCAAAAAATAAAAGATATATATATGTTTGTATTTTGCTTTTTAATTATTTATTTTATTTAAAATATCAAAAATAGTAATTAATTATTATATAAAATTCAATCAAACAAATTTAAAAATTGACCATTTTAAACATTGGTTTGTTGTGCATGTCTAAACACCTTTAATGATACATTCTTAAATTTGTATTACGTCTTTTAGCATAACAGTTTATAGTGAATTGTATAAAATATCATCTTATATTAATTTAAACAAACATTCAAATAAATTCTATTTTTTAACATTCTGACTTCTATATAAAGTAAAACCTCTCAAGAATGGGAAAGTGTGGTATACTTGTTCTCTCAAGAGCAGGCATTTTTAGCCAATCAAACCTTAAAAACCTTTTGATAAAGAACTATATTTTAAGTTTCAATCTTAAAATGCCCTTTCTTGAAAGAACCCGCTTATCAGAGGTACCGCTCTTTGGAGGTTTTACTGTATTAAAAATAATATTTAATTAATTATTTTGGTAAAAAGGTAACTTTATAATTAAAATTGTTTATTATTTAAATGGTAGCATTTTAACAAAAACTATGTTATTTTAAACAATAAATGTAGAAACAACTTGGTTACACAATAAAAACAAAGAAGTTTGTTTGTTTGCATTTTAAATGTTACAATAATGACATTACACGTATTATTTTAAATAAAACATAATAAAAAAATTTCAAACAATGAATAATTCATAATAAAATTTTATAATTATTTAGATAAATCATTATTATTACATTGCTGAAATTAAAAATAATTTAAATAGACATTCATTTTTTAGTTTTAAATTTGATTGTAAATATCAATGAAATGTGAACGTTTTTATTATGTTAAGCTAGTAATTCTGATTAATTTTCTTTAAACCCATAACAATTATATAAACAACTATTTTTTATTTAATAAATTTTAACTATTATCAATTAAATAACTTCGTGTTAATTTGATTTGTATTATTATTATAAAATAATTTACAGAATCAGCCTGTAACAGTTATTATGTGAACATATTATGTTTTTGATTTCGTGTAAACGACAGATGTTGGGTTTAACAAAGAAATTAATCAACTTGTGATTTTAAAGAATTGTTTTTAATATAATCGATATCTTATGTTCCAAAAAATTAGCTCACACTTTAAATTAAAAAAGTGAAAACAACAACCGTTTAAATAAATACATTGTAATAATAATTCAATGAAGGATAACTGCTTAATATCAACAATTTGACAAAAATAAGCTTATACTTGTTTAAAATAAGTTGAAATAATCTTTTTTGTTTGTAAACACAAAACAGTTACTTACGTGTAAGTTAACATGATATTTAAATAAGATATTTATTTGGGATTATAATAAGTAATTTAAATTCTATTATGAATTAAAATTCATTGATTTGTATTTATTTATAAACATTATTGACTATGTGAAGTCATTGAAATATATTACTTTAAATAATCAATTGACAATCATTTTATATTTGTATTGTTTTAAATATACAAAATGTAAAATTTTTTCAAATAAAAAAGTGCATCTTCTACTTTATTGTGCAAAAATTCCAAATATTTATATTTTATTAAAAAGTGTTGAGTTAGATCTCAATAACAATATAAATATTTAAATTACATATTATATTTTTGTTTAACCTCTTATATATTGAAAATAATTGTATATAAATAAATGTTTATTCTATTTCTATATAATTGTTGAACTTTTACAGGTGAATTTTTTTGGCTCTTGATTATATTATTTTAAACCGTTTAAACAACAAAGATGTCAATATACAAACGCAATTTTAAACGTATTAATTTAAAAACAGATGTATTACAATAAATATAATTCTCTATTTGTTTTTCTGTTAAATAGAAGAAGTTTATTATAAACAAATTCTTGATCATTGAATATAATTTGTGAAATTTTATAACAATTTGTTTTAATTATAATAATCACAAAACGGACATAATTTAATTGTTTAATTACACCAATATCAACATTGTTATTGAAAACTTTTGTTGATACGGGTTGGATAAAAAACACTCCTGTATTAATACAACTTTATTCTGTTTTAATAGTTATTAATATTAAAACAAAGGAAGTTTAATACTTATTACCTTTTCGAACAAAAAAGTATCAAATGGGTATATTCAGCATTCATAGTTAACAGTACAGTACATTTAATAAATTAATATATTTGAAATCAAGAAAATCAAGTCGAAGTAATTAAAAAATGATTATGTTTTTTGTCCATCTGTAAATATATACAAATGATGTTTATTTTATGATGATTTTTATCAAGTAAAGTTGGGTTTTTAAAGTTATCTACAATAAAAATAAAATAATGCATTTCAACTACATTGAAAATTATTATTAAAAAATGAAAAAAACTCTATTTAAAAACAACTTGTTATAATAATATTACAGCATTTGATTAAAATGTTACTTTGTAAATTACTAAATTCTCATTAAAATAAACAACAATAATACAACATGTTATTTTGTAATGTAAATACATGTAATAACACTGATTATAAATTAAATCAAAAAATAATTATTATTGCAATGAACAATTTTAACACAGAATTAAAACTTACATACTTATATCCAATATAATATAAAAATTGATTTCTTTTTGAATAGTGATACAAATGGATAAAACACTTACAAAGATATTATTATACAAATCTATCAATTTTAATATTAAAATAAAGTTGTTATTTTTTTAGTTTGCTTATTAATAAATTTTTAATATAATACTGGTGATTCCGGAATCGGTTCGGGAACCGTCATGTTCCGGAATCAAAAGTTTGGGAATATTTTTTTTTATGAAGTTCGGGAACTTGTGTGTTCTGGAACTTATTGGTTCGGGAACACACCAATTTTAAGTTTGGGAATCAGGATGTTCCCGAACCGAGGTTAAAAATATTCCCGAATATTTTTTGATTCCGGAATCGGTTCGGGAATTTGATAAAAAAAATAAAATTCCCCAAATAATTTATTATTGATTCCTGAAACTTCTGATTCGGGAATCAAAAATATTTCCCAAATGTTTCAAGAAAAGCCGATTCCGGAATCGGTTTCGACTACACTAATTGTAATGTTTCATAATTTACTATTAAAAATAAAACGAGTCTAAGAAAAAAGCTACAGTTCTCACACCTCTAGTTATTATCTAGTTCAACCATGGCATTTTTTAAAATCATAATTTTTATTAGAAAAATCTAGTCATATTTAAATTGAAACATAAAAATTGTTTTTACACAAAAAAGTTTCAAATTATATTTAGATATTAATTTTATGTTTTTCTAATAATATTAATTAAATTTAAAATATAATTGATTAAACCATTGGTAAGATGTTTGTGTGTTATCTACAAAACACAACAAAAACTGTTTAATAAGATTAACTATGTTATTACAAACAGTTATTTATAAAAAAGTGTTACAAGTTAAAAATTGTAATTTTATTATAAAAAACCAAATAAAATTATTTTGTATAATTGTTTTTTTTTCAACTGGTGATTTAAGAGAAAGGACGGACATGGGGACGAAGGACGGGAATATAGGCCGAAGGACGTCCTTTGTGGTTTAAGGACGTCCTCCCGCTATAAAGGACATCCTTAATGTGTATATGGTGTCCTTTCTGTTATTTTCGTGTCCGCTGCAATTTTTATTCATTATCGAAACTATATAACGAAGTATATTTTTATTATAAATATGCAATCAAAAAATATAATTATTTCCAAAAATAAATTTAATCAAAGACAAAAACTATTTAAGAAGTAATTTTGTTATATATTAATGGTTTATAAAAATTAATCATTTTTTTCATTTTACCATTCGGTTTTCTTTGAAAAACTAATTAAATTTGCATTTTTAATAAAAACCATTAATTTATAACGAAATTACTTGTTGTATAACATTTGTCTTTGATTAAATTTATTTTTGGAAATAATTATATTTTTAATAATAAAATTATAATAAAAATATACTTCGTTATATAGTTTCGATAATGAATAAAAAATGCCGCGGACACGAAAATAATAAAAAGGACACCATATACACAGGAGGACG